TGGTTCTCACTAGCTCCCCAACATCTGCACATTTCACATATCTCTTACAACAGCACAACTGAGCTAAACTAACTGTAATTTCTTGAAAAGGCTGTGTCCAAACAAAAAAAATATCCTCTTTCTGCAGCCTAAGTAGGGCAGGAAAAATGCTCACTGCGATACTGGCTTGACATGTTTCTTTCCTAAGAACTACCCCATACACTTCTGGTAAAGACCCTTCAGGCTCTTGCCTTCCATTTCTCCCCTTTTTGATCCCTGCCTGCGGCAGGATGGTGTTGTATCCCCCACATCAATCACTGCTGAATTGGAAAAGGTGCACTTCCCTATGGGAGATCCTGCTGTGTGTTGTTCAGCTTGGGCCAAATCCCATTTCAGGGCACATGTGCCTGTGAATAAAGCTTGTCATCCATCACCCCTCCAATGGGTCTGGGCAAGAGCTCTCCATCACTGACTGGTATACCTCCTCTGCCCTGGCATTTTGTGTAAGGGGTGGCATTTTTCAGTGTGGTGGAAAGTCATACTCAAACCACTCATTTCGGGTACTGCGGAGAGTTTCCTTGAAATGCTGAAAGTCCCCAGTAAAGTAGGCTTCCTCTCTCTGGCAGCAGCAGCTCCCCAGAGCTTCCCTGGGTCTCAAACATCCAGAGTAACTTCTTTTTTGGTCATTCTTTTGGCTGTCCAGATCTCTGCAAGTGGTTTTAAGGGTAAAAAGTTAGTGCCTCCTTTTGCTACCACAGCTTCCTCCAGACAGGATAGGACAATTTACATTTTCACACCCTTGTAATGTCCTGTCTCAGGCCACAAAGTCTTGTAATCCCTGCACCGAAAGGTTTGTCTTCTCAGCCAAAAATTTCTTAAAAGACCATCAGTGATGTTAAAGGTCCCAAAAATACTGACAGTAACATTTTAGATGTCATTTTTGTTCCCCTGGAGCTGGTGAGCTTTCAGGAGTTTTATCCCAGTCAGGAGAATGAAAATCCAGGCTCTCCTGCTGAGAATAGGCTTGTTACACAGCAGTCCCCAGTGTCTCAATTAAAACTTGTATTAGGTTACTTGAGTGCCAGATAGGCTTTTCACTCCTCTATGTGCAAGTGATTGAGGCCAGAGAGTCTCCTAAATATTTTTTCTTTACCCTATAAGGGAATTCTTCAGTATCTTCCAGTAGCTTCATGCCCAACTGAATTTAGTTTGGTACCCTTGTTGAAATCTTTAGGGACTTAAACTCATCTTCCTGTATGTTTATTTATAGATTTCTATATATTTAGAAACTTTAATAAAAAGAGAAGAAGAAAAACGCTGGATTGTTTTCAAGAGGGGATTTACTGGCATGGTGTTGCATGGGAGGAGCATCCTCTGAAGTTCTCATTAACACTGTGCCACACTTTTGGACTGTGACACTTGGTGCAGGCAGCCCCTCTGGCCTTGGGAGATTGTGGTGGTGGAATATGGAACATGTAGGCTTACTTATGACTCAGGCCTACCAAGGAAAGTGGGAGTAGGGGGGGTTCAAATTTCATGACACCACTAATGTTTTGGCAAAAAAAAGTTTAATAGCTCAGTACTCTGTTAAAAAATGAGTAAAGAAAAAATAGTGGTCTATATAAAACTGATTGTAAGTGATTTTCTAACTGCTTTGTAATGTGTTTAGAGTTAGGTGTCCTTTTTGTTTTGAGAGCTACCTTACTAAAGTACTTGGTAACGTAGCCCAATTTCCTCAAATTCAAATTTAAAAAAAAAATCCTTCTTTCATTTGGAGAAAGTAATGGATTTTGAAAGAACCAAATCAACACTGATTTGGAAATTGGGTCCTTTTGCATACGGGAGCTATCAGCATTTTAATTAGCAACTTAAGGGGTTTTTCCCCCTTAAATTTATACATTCTGGCTTATTTCTACAGTTGTTTGTTCCTTCCTCTTTTTTTGCTTGGAAATTAATCATGCAGGAAATGATTAACCACAGTGAGCTTGTCTGTCTGCCTCTGACTCAATGTTTAAGAGGGAGAGCCTTCAAGCAGCTCAAAATGTCTGACCAGATACAAACCATGCACTTGCAGTGTGGTTGTTCACACTGTCTATCCCATAATAAAGGTTCCTTTTTAGGATTTGTAATGCTCCTGAAATTATTTCTGAGATACCAAATTAAGTCTGAAGTGTGCAAAATGTGTGTTTCACTGCATTGTGTAGTGCCACTTTTTGCCCATTGCTCTTTATGGATTACTCTGCATAGCAAGGGGCTCTTTGCACAATGCGCGTGTGTACCTCCTCTCTCCTCTGTTTTGGTTTTTAAATGAAAGGAGTCATTATCGTGATGCATTGCATAACATAGCATTTTAATATCTTTCCTGATGGCGGCTGCTGCATGTGTGCCTGGTGGTTTGCAGGAGTGGGAGTTGTCTCATGCAGGTATGCTTTACTCGGGCGCTCTTGGAGCGTCTCGTTGGCCGGCGGCGCGGGCGGCGTTCTCCAGCGGCGGCGGACCGGGCTCTGTGCGCTCCGCTGCCGGGAGGGCTGCGGGGGCTGCCCCAGCCCGGGGCTGTGCCCGGGGCAGGGCTGCAGTGTGAGGATGGCAGCGGTGGGTGCCTGCTCGCGGCACGGGCAGCTGGAGCGAGCGGGCTGCACCTGCGGGATGTGCGGATCCTTCTGTCCTGCTCGCAGCCCAGACCTCTGTGGCTGATGCTGCGGTTACTGCAATCCCTTCTGCCGCCCCACCGATGCTCACCTAGACATAACGCTTCTATATAGCTCCTTAAAAGATGTGATCCTCTGCACTGGTGCCTAGAAAATACATTAGGACATGTGTCCTAGGTTTTCAAGTGCCAATACATCTTCAGCCTTGGTCTTTTGGAACCAGTTCCTTTTCAATAGCCCTGCAGCACCAAGCATTATAAGAAACTTGGTTGTTAACAGATTTGGTTGGTAAAATTTATTACTAGGTGGACTGGTTACTATTTCAGGTATTTTATAGTGTTAGTTGTTAGCAATTTAACATAATGGCCTTTTCTAAAATTCAGCTCTTTCCCACTGACCCAAGAGCAAATAATGATGTCAATCCATTGCAGAAATGTAGGACAGTAACCAGAGCTTTCCTCTAATGGCAGAGTTGCACTTAACATCTCAGGACATCTTTATGCTCTGTGAGAAACAGTCATCCTGTGAAATGGTGATGAACAAAGTAGCTGCAGAGCTTGAGTTCAGTATTGTGCTAACTCAGCTGTTTTGGTTCTGCAGCCCGAGAGGTACTCTCCTCCCAAGGGCTACTCCCAGCACTGCCCTGTGCTGTGAGAGCAAGTCACCAGGTCACTGCATCTCTTCAAACCAATGTAATTCTTCATTTAGGCTTATAGTGATTAATTTTTTAAATCCAGAGAGCACCTCTTTTATTTTTGCTTACAGTGAGTCAGACAAAGAAATAGACTGTACAAAATCTAACAACCAAATAGCAAGGATGAATTAGTGCTTCAAAGATAGAGGTGCTGTTTCTTCCTGCAAAGTTTCAGCTTGAGTTTCTAAAAATCTCTTTTTCATCAGCAGAGGCAGAGTCAGAGTGAGAAAATAGTGAAGCAGTATTTCAACTTAGGTTTTAAACTAAAATTTGACAATGTAGGGTGTTTTATGGGCTCTGTAACTATGCATGATGCGTTTTTGTGTGGGCACACAGGTTTCTCAGTCACGCCATGTGATCTCCTAAAGGAAGTGTGTGCTCTAGAGCACCATGAGTAAACAACCTGCAGGATGCTCATGTTAAACTTCAGGCCAGTTTTGCCAGAGTTTGGTTTATTACAGAAGCTTGTCCTGTGCTTCCAAAATGCTGTTTTCCAGCCTGTCTCTGAGGGCTATAGGGTTTGTTCAACAACAGCAAAATGCAAGCTCACCAGTGTGTACCTGATTTTGATGGCAGTTGAGAGAACCCTTCAGTACCAGAAATACCAGCTCATGTGCAGTGGTTGAGTACAGCTACATGTACGATGGGATACAGACGGAGGGAACACCTAGTGCCTTTCTCCCCACTGCCTCCTTGCAAATCATGTGTACAGAGAGGGTTCTGGAGAATCTGGATGGGTCTGTGGGTAGATGCTTCCCCTTTGAGAACTCAGGCTTCAAGCATCACCTTACTTCCTCTTTATGCCTTAAGAAGGCATAGAAGAATTCATTGAGAAGCTGATCTAAAACAATCCAGTTAAAAGGGAAGAAAAGTAGAACAGAGCCTCCCAAGAGAGAAACAATATTGAACTGACAGGAAGGTAGACAAGTTATGGTATTTTATAGGAAGTGCTTCACAGACCACCTGGCTTACTTGCTGCATTCAGGTCTGAGCTGCCTTAAGGGATTAATTTAAAAGTCTGATATCAAACCAAACTGTATTCTGCCTGTCCAGAAACTTCCCTGTGACACATGGAGTGCCAAAGAGACTGATGATACATTATCTAGACTGCTTTGACTTCTCAGCAAAGCAGGGCAGAGAGAAGAATTTCTTTTTAATCCAATGAAGCAGTTAAAGGCTTGGTGAAATACCCTCTTGGCACAGTTAAGCTAGAGACAACTGCAGCTGTGAAAAGACTGTGTTAAGAAACAGGATGGTTGTGGTCTACTGTAAGAAATAATTTTCCTGTTGACTATTTTTTTAAACAGGAAGCTGAAGAACAAAGCAGCATTAGTCTTGGTGCTTTTAATAGGTTTCAGATTTCAAATATTGCATTTAGAATATGCTGACTGGGAAAGGATAGGGCTTTGTGCAATTTTATATAACAACAGAAAGCTATACATTTGAAAGATGGGAATATAACTAAATTCAAGTGGATCCTCTGAACATGAAGCTGTTGTTTCTCTGGAAGAGCTCAGTAATGCAGCAGAGGAATGATGAGAGCAGGCTGGTTTGTTCACAGGACTCTGTGAACTCGTGCATTTGCACAGCACTGTGTAGGCTTGGCTTCACAGTTTCCTCTTTGTCAGTCACTCTGTCTATCTGCCAGCTTCCCCTCTGCTTTGCTCACTCTTTTGCAGTAACTGGAAGCAGTTTCTGCAGTATGGGAGAAGAAAACCTGCAGGCACTCGAGACAGCACTAGTGCCTTACACCACTTGGAATTCCATGACTTTTCTAGATGGTCAGCCAGAGCTATGGGTGATGTGTCTGACTCCTTCCTCCCTAAAGATTTTACACAAAATCCATTAAAAAGTCTTGTTTCAGTAAATATTTCTTCTGAGGAAGGTAACTCGGCAATTTGAGGGGGAGAGGGGGGAGGGAAGGGAGGTTACAGCTGTATTTTAATTCTTCTGAAGTATGAGCATCTGATGAGATAAATCTGTACTTCTAAACAGTTTTTTCTGACACACATATCATGGATGATGTCAGGGCCATTACATACTTTGTAGGTGGTGACTCACTGCAAATCTATTTTGTTTCATTCAGCACATTTTCCTAATGTTCATTTTAACTGTAAAGGGTACTGTACCTGGCATGATGTTGATTTGACAGATACTGTGCTATTACACTTCATCTAAAACAATTAAGTTACTTTAGAAAGTAAGAGCTGTGTATTCATGTAAATGACTGCCCTGGGGACCTCAGCCATCAGCCTGGCGTTGGCTGGAGAATTGCCCTTGTTCTTGTCCCCACTGTGTTTACCTGTCTTATGCAAACGTTATATAAGTGGTGGGCCAATCATTGTTACTAAAGGTGGCTCAGGTGAATGGCCAGCATGGGTGAAAGCTCAGATAAAAGAGTAAAGCACATGCTGAAATGCCATAGCACTATTAGAAATGCTCCAAAGTCCCTGATAGGCGCAGTTCCAGTAAGCTGTGTGCCAAAATGCTACAAAAAGCCCTTGTGACTTGAAAATACAGTCCTTCACACTTTGGGCTTTTCTTTCTTTTTTTTTTTTTTTTTTTTTTGGTTGTTTTTCCATCATTTGGCTGCAGTAAATTTCTATATCTCAGCTGTGACCCTCCTAGGATTGCCCAAGGCTGGAAATTCAGCTTGGGGTGGGGAAAAGTGGGAGTGTGGTCCTTGGCAGGGAACTTGTGAAAGGCTGAGCTTTAGGAGCCAGGCTTTTCTGTCTGCAGCAGTCTGCAGCTGAGAGGCCAGGCTGCCTGCTTGCTCTTCCTCCTCAGGGAGGGTATCCAGAACATGTTTCTGTGTGCTAGTTCTGAGGAGGAGGAAGGTGCATTCAGACATCATGATGGAGCTTGGGATCTTCAGAGCAAGCAGGGAGAGAGGAAGAAGCATGAGTCCATCCCAGAGCTTTGCTGTTCCACTCTACCCATAACAGTGGAGGTGGATGAATCTTCTAGCAACTAAAGGGATTTAACAAGTCAGCATCTCTTTCTGAGTATGATTCTAAATTATGATGTCTTTTTGAAGTAAGGGCTGATGGTATAGCTATGAGGCTATCCTGAAGCACTTCCATGGAACAAGATTGTTGGATTTAAAAGAGTTCAATTTGGTGCACTGCCATAGCAATGCATGGATTGTGCAAGTGCTCAAAACTGGATATGTATCTATGAGTTTGTATGGCAGTGGGGATCATGTAGGGAGCCCCTGTTTAAAGATGCAGCTGGTTTTCATTCAATTAAAGTGCTTTTTACAAATTATTTAGAATTCAAAAATGTAGAAGATAAACCTGTTAGCTGCAAGGATGTTTTTTAGCTGAGCAGAAATTTATTTATTAAGATGTATTAATCTCTGGACTTTTTTATGTTTGTGTTTTGCTGTGCAGGTTTCTTAGCAAGAGCAAACAGAGCTCAGCCTTCCACCATGCCTGTGCCTCCCCCTCCAGCTCCCCCTCCACCCCCAACATTGGCCTTGGTAAGTTTTACAGGCGGTAAACATATGCACTATTCTCTGCTGCTGCTTGTCACTTTGAATAGGATGTCCAGAGATACTGAGATGTGGATGAGGGTATCCATGATATTTGGGGAAAGCTGTCCAACATACTGTTTATGGTTGATCATTGATCCTGCAAGAATGACCATCACTTCGTTGCCTCCCAGTTCTCAGGTGGATGTCACAATCCACTCTAACTCTCTGTCCTTTTATTCCTCCCATATTGGTGGCTGATCTGGTGGAGAGACAACAGCTTGTCTAATGGGGGTTGAAGTCTTGTCTGTCTCCAAACCTGTACTCCCACATTCTCCCTTGTTCTACTCCAGTACTTCCGTGACTTGAGCTGGAAAAAAAAAATCCTGTTGTTTAAAAAATTTGATAAGGCTAGTTCTTAGCTAACATAGTTCCCTCAGCCAGCCTGTGGTATCAGAGCACAGGATCCACTGCTGGCACAACACGGTGGGTGAAACTACATCGTACCTGACTTAAACTGGGATAGAGATTGTGCTGTGCTTGCCCTCCCAACAGTCAGTCACCTCACTGAAAAGAAGGAAGACTTCTTGAAATGCCGTTTTGAAACACTTAGATATTTTCAGAGCAAAACCCTAGCTGATTACACAGAATGGGCTGTCTTTCAAGAGACTTTCCTTCATTTTCCACCTCAAGCAAGATACTGACTCTGCTTGGTCCCTCCGTAACACCTGTCCCCACCTTTCGGGAAATCTCCATAACACTGATCTGATAAATTAGAAAATGTTACAGGAACCGTTTCCTAGAAGAAAAATGTCACCAAAATATAAAGAGAAAAGAGAGGACCGTTGAGACAAACCTCATGTGTCCAAAGGTTTTATTTGGTCTATATGAAGAGGTCAATATTATTGAAGTGGCAATTTTTAAGTATTTTTATCTAAGCTAAAATAGTAGACAAAGGTCCATCTTTGCTCTGATTTATCTAGAAATTGTATTTCACCACAACTTTCAAAGATGTCCACCTTCTAGTGTAATCAACTTATGTGTGTAGTCTGTTCTTGTTCCGTCTCCCAAATGGCACAGATAAGCCTTGGCTTTAAAAAATAAGAGATTCTAAATCATGAGTTAAAAGTGAATTCACTTAGAAGTGTTCTGTTTCTAATGAATAATGTGTGTTAGAATAGCAGTAGTGTTGGGGACTTTGAGTCAGTAACAAGCCAGCTACCTTTAATATCATTCACAAAAGTAGACACGGCATGCTACCTACCCACTCCAATGCTGCTAAAACAGCCACTGAAGTCTGCCATATTTGAGCAGAACTTTGTATCTAGAAGTTGTGGTTTATTTTGCCTCCTCTTTTTTTTTTTTTTTTTTTTTTTTTTTTTTTTTTTTTTTTTTTTTTTTTTTTTTTTTTTTTTTTCAGGCAATTACTGAAAAGCCATCCCTGAGCAGGTCAGAACAGGCAGGGCGAAATGCTCTATTATCTGATATTACCAAAGGAAAAAAGCTCAAGAAGACTGTTACTAATGACAGAAGTGCTCCAATTCTAGACAGTAAGTATGACTCTACATGTTGGAATTTTTGTGGGCATGAATGATTCTGCAGATCTGAAAGCAGCAAATTATTTTATATATCAGATGAAAATTGCCATAAGAGTAGATAAAAGAAAGTGCCAGAAATTGGCATGCATAAAAATAAATTCTATTCATTATGAGTGAGTAGTCAGCTGAGAAATCAAGTATTGCTTATGAAATGTGAATGCTAATTTGTTTGCTAATTCTCAAAAAGTGATTTATTTTCCTGTTTGCTTATATCAGGAAAATATGAAAGTCCTACCAGTAGTTCTACTGAGGACCTGCAGCAGATCAGGCAAACAAAACCCCATAAGGACTGAGGAGAGGACAGATAATAAAGTGGAATTTCAGACTCTACTTTTAAACTATTATAAACAATATAAGAATAAATCTATTATAAACAATATAAGAATAAATGTGTGCCTGGCATGACACCATTGGCTGGAGTACCACTTAGAGCAAAAGCAGAGCCAGAAGCTACAGCTCTACCTGTGTGTCACTGCTGCATGCAGTTTTGCCACTCCTGGAGTGACTCAGGGGTGTTACCTTTTTAGATAGCCCAGCAGTACTGTACGAGGCAGTGACTCTACTTACCTGAATGGAAATGAGGTCTCTATGCAGCTGTGTTGCTGCTGTCTTACAAGATGTCTCACAGCACATCTTGGTAGGTGCCCAGAGGAGGCTGGAGAAGCCCATGTAGCAAAAGTATTGGGAAGGCAGAACAGAAACAGGAGAAAAGTGAGGAACAGAGGCTTGAGCTGACATAGGAACAGCATTTATTTCCTAAGGAGAAAAGACACTTCTACAGACTGATTAGTAAATGTGTGATACACCTCAGTCTAGGTTTGGCCATGCAATTAAAGGCTGAACTCTGGTAGAAATGATGACAAAAGAAGGAGCTGTCCAGAGGAGTGTGGCCAAATAAAAATAATTTTAAAAAATTAGATACAGTCCTGCAGTCAGCCAGCTACAGTTTTTAAAGATTATCTCTGAATGTGAAGTTACATGTTCTAGCTATATTAACAAGCTGGAGGGGATTAAAGGAGGGAGTAAACAGATAAAATTAATGCAGCCTATTATCTTATTTTCATGAATTAACAAATCATGATGAAAGACTAAACCATGGTAGCAGCATTTCTCCAGAGGTTCACACCCTATCTGAGTCAGAGCTGAACTGAGCTGACATGCTTAAGGAAGAGAAAGATAATGCCAAACATTCCCCCATGGATACACTCTTCCTTTTTTCTTGGGGAAAAGTTTTGGAAGTGCTTTTCATCCACAAGTTTTAATTACTTTGAAGTCAGTGAAATTTTTACCCACCCAAATTTGTGGAAATCGGGATTCCAAGAAATTAAGCAAGTGATCTTAGCCTATGTGGCCTAGCCCAGCATCTGAGAGCTGATCTCCACAGATATTCCAACCTGTGCACCTGCTGATTTTGCAGTGATGCTCTGAATAAGGCTCTTCTGTGCATTGTAGTTGCATTTTCTGTGCATTGTACTTTCATTTTACTTTTGGCAGCTCAGTTGTCACAGCAGAAATATTGAAATTAGAGAGAAATGAGAGAGAAAAGGGAGAGGGCTGATAAAATAATTCCTGCCTACTGGAAATGTTCACAGCTAATGATCCTATCACTGCACTTCTGAACCTACAGAAATGGCATCTCCTTTGTGACTAGGCTTTGTTTAAATAAG